TAGCCCTCAGTATCACACTCCTTCTACATGACAGCCACAGTAATTTGTATTGGTAACATTGATTTTTTTAATCAACATTTCCTTGATAACAGGTTGGTTTTGCTAGGCATCTTAGTATTATCTATGGCTCAACTATGAATCAAGGACCTACAGAAACTTTACTTATTATTATTTTTCCCTTACATGTTAATTTTCATAATTTTAGCATGATTAATAATTTCTTTATTAGTTTTAGTGACATTAAATTCAAACGGAGTCAAATCATCTGATTAATTCTAACCAGCTTTGATGAACTATTATATACTGGACCAGAGGTTTCTAAAAGATAATCTGTAGACTAGTTGGCTGATTGCATCAGAATTGACTGGTCTCTGTTTCATACGTGCGGAATCAGAATTTTATTTATTTATTTATTTGTTTATTTATTTATGTTTTTGAGTTGGAGTCTTACTGTGTTGCCCAAGCCGGAGGGCAGTGTTATGTTCCTAGTCACTGCAGCTGGGCACAATGGCTCATGCCTGCCTGTAATCCCAGCAATTTGGGAGATCGAGATGAGAGAATTGCCTAGTCCCAGGGGTTCAAGACCAGCCTGGGCAACTTGGTGAAATTGCATCTCTGCAAGTAAAAAAAAAAATTAGCCTGGCATGGTGGCACAAGCAAATCTTCTGCCTCAGCCTTCCAACTAGCTGAAACTATAGTTTCGGGCTACTATGCCTGACTAATTTTTTTTATTTGTTGTAGAGACAAGCTGCTAAATTGCCCAGGCTGGTCTTGAACCCCTGGGCTCAGGCAATACTCTCATCTCAGCCTCCCAAAGTACTGAGATTACAGGCATGCGCCACTGCACCCTGCTCATAATAATTTTTAGGTAAAGCTCTGGAAGTTATATATACGTTTGAGTTGGGGTCTGTTGCCCAGATTAGAGTACAGTGGTGCAATCACACCTCATTGCAGCCTCAACCTCCTGGGCTCAGGTAATCCTTCTGCCTCAGCCTTCTGAGTAGTTGGGACTACAGGTGCATGCCACCATGCCTGGCTAATTAAAACAATTTTTTTTTTTTTTTTGGTGGAGACAGAGTTTCACTATGTTGCCCAGGACTACATTGCCGGGTCCTCATTTTAACCTTTTTTTTTCTCTCACCAGATGAGGCTTTATTGGGGATTGTACCTGGGTACAAGGTGGATAGCACAGTAGGAATTCTCCTGCTGGCTTCCCTTAGAGAGTGGCTTGGGGCCCTTTACTGGGCTGGTTTTGTTAAATCATTGTGTGAAGGGGGTGGAGTCTGGACTGCACAGGTGTAGTATTGATTATGCCTCTACAAACATGGCGGATAAGCCCCTCCCTGGATGGAGATTTTAGTACGGTATTGAGGTGAAGGTTATCATTCATTTTCCAGACCTTGTGCACATCCATTTTAACCATTTTTAAGAATACAGTTCAGTGGCTTTAAGTACATTCACATTGTGCAATCTTCAGAACTCTTTTCAGAATGGAAACTTTACATGGATTAAACAGTAACCCACCATTTCTCCCCTCACCAACCAAGCCCCTGCAGCCATCATCCTACTTTCTCTCAGTCTGATTTTGACAACACTAAGTACTCATAGAAGTAGAATCATATAGTATTTGTCCTTTTGTGACTGGCTTATTTCACTTAGCAAAATGTCCTCCAGATTTATCAATGTTGTAGCATTTTTAAAGGCTGATTAGTATTCCATTTTATGCATTTATCACATTCTGTTTATCCATTCTTCGGTCGGGGACACCTTTTAACTACTGTGAATAGTGCTGCTGTGAACACAGGTGTGCAAATATCTCTTTGAGACCCTGCTTTCATTCATTTTGTGTATATACCTAGGGGTGAAATTGCTGGATCATATGGCAGTTCCGTTATTTTAGTTTTTAAGAATGTCTATGTACTTTTATATAATCTACCTTTTTTGAGACTTACTCTCCACCACATCTAGTGTCTCCAGGTGTAGAGATTGTCTGGTTGACTTTCCGAGCCCACTCATTTGCAACAGCCATCTCCTGTTGGGGAATGAGCATAGAAGTGGGGTTAGTGACCTGAAAACGTGGGTTTGGAAAGTGAATTTGAGGACTGAAATATTCAATCTTCCAATGCCACAGCTGAGCTCTCCCACTCCTGTCCGGTGGGTACATGTGGAGGTTCTTCTAATTGTGTAAAAAAACCCGACTTCATTGAAAGCCGATTTTCACCTAAATGACTGACTTGCAGGTAACTTTCTTTTATGTAATTTTTAAAACTTTTAGTTATCGTTTTGTCTTCATAATAGCATTAAAAAATTATTTTGAAGATGTGGGGTACAATTCAGGGCTAGTTATACAAATGTTCATTATACAGGTACCCTTGTTGATGAGGTGTGCCTCCCCCCCTTTTCCTCAGTTTCCTACTCCCACCCCTGCCCTCCCCTGGCAGTTTCCCATGACTGCCAATCCCTTTCTTAAAGTATTATGATAATTGTTCAAGGTCCGCTTATGAGTAAGAACATGTGGTACTCAGTTCTTTGTTTCTGTGATAGATCACTCAGTATTACAGACTCTAAATCCATCCAAGTTGCTGCGAAGTTCATAATTTTGTTCTTCTTTTTTTTTTTTTTTTTTGAGTTGGAGTCTCACTCTGTCGCCCAGACTGGAGTGCAGTGGCCGCTCCCGGCCACCACAGCCTCAACCTGCTGGGCTCTGGCGATTCTTCCGCCTCAGCCTTCTGAGTAGCTGGAACTACAGACGTGGGCTACCACACCCGGCTAATTTTTTGATTTCTTGTAGAGATGAGGTCTCGCCAAGTTGCCCAGGCGGGTCTCTAACTCACGGGCTCAGGCAATTCACTCACCTCAGCCTCCCAAGGCGCGGGATTACAGGCTGAGCCACCGAGCCCGGCTAATTTTGTTCTTCTTTATGGCTGTGTAATATTCCATCATATGTATGTGCCACATTTTAAAAATTCAGTCCTTTTTTGATGTGCAGCACAGTTGGTTCCATGTTTTTGCTACTGTAAGTAATGCTGCAATAAATATGTGTGTGCAGGTATCTTTTTCATAGAGTGATTTGAGTTCTTCTGGGTATATTCCCAGTAGGCAGATTGAGGGGTCAAATAGAAGGTCGATTTTTAGATTTTTTAGGAATCACCACACTGTTTTCCACAGAAGTTTACTAGTTTACACTCCCACCAGCAATGTAGAAGTATTCCCTTTTCCCCGCCTCCTCTCCAGCATCTGTAGTTTTTTGAGTTATTGATGATGGCCATCCTGACTTGAGTTAAGTGGTATCTCAGTGTGGTTTTAATTTGCATTTCTTTGATGACCAGTGAGGCTGAGCATTATTTTCATGTGTCTGTCGGCTGCTCAATGTCTTCTTTTGAGAAGTGTCTATTCATATCTTTGGCCCACTTTGTAAAGGGGCTGTTTGTTTTTTTCTTTTAAGCACATTTGAGTTCCTTGTAGAACCTAGATGTTAGGCCTTTGTCAGATATATAGTTGGGAAATATTTTTTCCAAGTCTGTGGGCTGTCGCCTCACTCTCTCAATGGTTTCTTTGGCTTTGCAGAAGCTTATCAGTTTGATGAGGTCCCACTTGTCTATCTTATCTCTTATGGCATGGGCACTGGGGTTTTGATTAGGAATTGGTTGCTAGTTCCAATTTCCATAAGGGTGCCTCCTGCATTTTTTTAAGGATCTTATAGTTTGAAGTTTTACGTTTAGGTCTTTGATTCATTTTAGAGTTGATTTTTGTGTATGCTGATAGGTAGGGAGGGGTCTTGTTTTAATCTTCTGCATGTGGTCAGCTAGCTTTCCCAGCACCTTTTACTGAATAGGGTCTCCTCTCCCCAGGTAGATGGTGGAGGCTTTGTCGAAGATGACTTGGTTGAGAAATTGAGGTTTTGATTCCGAAATCTCTATCCTATTCCGTTGGTCTGTATGCCTGTTCTTGTACCAATACCAGGTTTTGATTATTGTAGCCTTATAATAAAGTTTAATGTCTGGGAGTGTGATACCTCCTGCTTTTTTTTTTTTGCTGAGGATTGTTTTGACTATTCGTGGTCATTTATGTTTCCATATGAATTCCTGTATTGTCATTTCCAGGTCTGGTAATGCTGCTGGTAATTTAAAGGGTATTGCGTTAAATCTGTAGATTGTCTTGGGTGGATGTACAGCTTAAAAATGTTGATTCTTCCAATCCACGAGCATGGAATATTTTTCCATTTGTTTGTGTCATCTTTGATTTCTTTGAGCAGTATTTTGTAGTTTTCGTTGTGAAGGTCTTTGACCTCTCTGGTTAGGAAGATGCCAAGGTATTTAACTTTTCTGTGGCTATTGTGAATGGGACTGTGCTTTTTATTTGTGTTTCTGTTTGTTTATTGTTGATGTATAGGAATGCGACCATCTTTTGCGCATTTATTTTATACCCTGAGTCTCTGCCACAAAATAGCATTTTAAAGCCAATTCATTTGGGCTCTGTTCCAGTTTCTTTGCTGCTGCAGCTAAAGTCTGAGGGGCCCAGAGGAAAAGAAGAACCCAGAAGGGTACAAGAAAAACGTAGAATACTCATTTTCATTCCCAGGGAGGTACCCTGCGGTGGACGGAAATCAGAAGTTTTTAACTAGCTGTTTGATTTTGGGCAAATCTTTCGGCTCCCTGGGACGAAATATGCAAAACGAGGGTCATGCATTATAATCCCCAGATTGTGCGAGTGACGTGGGCGCGCGCGCGCGCCCGCCAACGCTTTGCAACGCGGCTCGGGAGCGTGACATCACCATGGTAACAGCAACCCGCGCGCACGCGCCCTCTTAAAGAGCCGGTGTGCTCCGCGGGCGTCTCAGCCCGTCCTCTTCCTCAGACGGCCCCGCCCCCGCTTCCCCCCCCCAGACGGCTCCGCCCTGCGGAAGCCAAGTAACCAATCACCGCCCGCCTTTTCCCTGCCGTCACGGGCGCGTGCCCCGGTTTCAAAAGCCTGGAGGGGGCGGGCTCCTGGCCTCGCGCATGCGCCTCGGCGCGTTTGCCCCACGCTGGTTCCGCGAGCTCGGCCCTTAGGTCTCCGCGGCGTCCGGGGGCGATCCGGGTGGGTGGTAGCCGCCGCCATGGGCAGGCCCGCGGACTCTCGGGGTTCGAGAACCCGACCTGACCCGGTGCAGAGCTTCAATCGCTGGAGGAAGAAACACAGCCACAGGCAGAA